ACAGTATTATTAAATCCAATCGAATACCTGGATTAAGAATATTCGTAATTAATATAATACACATTCATAATTAAAATACAGCCATAAAAATAATGATAATAGTTTTGTTAATATGTGAATAMTTAATGCTTTAATAATAGCTGTATAAAAAAAATTACACTTCTGAAAATAAATTATGCAGATATAAGTTTGTATAAGTTTGTATAATATTTTATAATTTCTTGAATTTTCATTTTAACATATTTTATTGTATGGGTACATATTATTATTATAATTATTATTTGGTATAGTCTAATACGTTTTCAAGCAGTAAAATACATTGGGTAGTATTAGATATAGGTACCTATTATTATTTTATGTGTTTTGCTATTTTGAATATCGGACATASGTACTTAATAGATTTTCATATTATTATATTTTATCTATAATACTAGTATTTCAAACATGTAAGAAMRTGTGTTAATATTTATCAATGACATTTAAATATCATCAAATTAAAATATTGGTTTATTAATTTATTATTATACTTAACATAATTTATTTTCTAGATTCTTACAGTATTCTTCTAAAAATTAGTAATCTCTTAACGACGATTATTAACTTACCAGCATGGAATAAATAATTAGAGGTACCAAATGCATTTGAAGTACTCAAGACCTTAATGCTTGTTTTAATATCTTGTGTCACGTCAGAAGGCGTAGCATATTCCGATGTCACGAATGCTCTTAACATCTGCCGAACGAATCTACAACTGACACTGAACTGGTGTGGGAAATCCAACGAATACGTAACTATCATACCGTATGCCTTGTCGTAGGACGAACCGGCCAGGACGACCATAAAGTTCGTGATTAAGTAAAACAACGCTTCCTCTGGCGCTAAATTACTCGAATCGTTGTTGACACTGTTGACGGTCTTCTGTTYGACCCAACACATGTATAACGTAGGGCCCGCGATCGCGATTGACGATGGTATGATCTTTTTCGTGAAAAAATTACCAGCTCCGTACCACATGAGTGCGATTGCCGGGGATGCCCAACACAGTATGGATCCCAAGTAAAAGGTCTCTTGTCCCTGCATGGCCATTGCGTAACCGACCGCCGTGACAACAGCCAACAGCGATATCGGTACCCAACGAATCAACAGGTAACTGCGTTTGTCATAGTTGAAGTTCAAGCACGGAGTCGACCACTGGACGAAGATCAACGTCCACAACGAAGTGAGAACGGTTTGCATGACGACGATCACGTACTCCTCGATGGGTACATTTCCGACGACGGCTAAGACCGTCCCGGGCGAATACGTCTTGGCACCGTAATRGTATACAAAATAGCTGTACCACGGTAACGTGTAGAAAACGGCTAAGGCGCATATAAATCCGATTTTAAAAATTTCCAATCGATTGATAAACGGCCGAGTTATTAACGTTAAGACGCCGACCACTGGTAGAGTGTAGGATATGTGGGCGCCATTGTTGGTTAACATGATGCGTCGATGATGGTTTATGAAAACTGAAAAGTCGTGAAATTATCGGTGAAAGACATAAGCGCCAAAATTAGATAAGAAAAAATAAAGTCGTATCGTACAAAAGCGCCAAAATCGTATCGTACGAAAGCGCCAAAATCCTAGGTACCTGTGTGCCACAGTTAATAGATGTTAAATAACAGATATTAAATTTAGAATTATATCGTTCAAAAACTCCAACGTTTAATCTTAATCGACAAATGTCGACA